ATTGACTTATTCAATTACACCAAACTGGGTTTGAACCCAGCAAAGACGCAGCCAGACTGAAGAAGACAAGTCCCCGTAGCATAAACACGTACACCCCCCCCCCCCCAAAATTGTGTAATTTGGTTATGGTAAATCCAAGCAGACTATGATCATGTGTAGGGGTGTTAATCACACCCATGATGGCAATTCAGTATCAATTTCCTGACCCAACTATTAGATTATTTTCGATACTCAAGAATACACCATGATACGATTCAATTAACTGTTTTGTTTTTTTTACCTTACAGGCTAGACGATGTTTCAAATTTGAAATAAATCAGTGAAAGCTGTAATATTGTTATGCATTCTATTTGAGTGACAAGAGCAAATTACATAAGTAGCAAAGCTGCACCCCACCTAGGCCTATGAAAACCTCATTTACTGAAAAATAATAATGCCTCTGTGTTTACACGAGTGTGCAAGCGGAAAGAGGGTAGTGGCTAAAGGCAGCAAGGTAGGAGGGCAAAATAGGTTTAGCGCCACCGCAGCACGGGAGTCATATTTACGTCCAGGAACAAATGGATAAAATAGACCGGAGGAAAAAATAAACATGAATCGATACTCTTGCAGACGTGTCGATGCATTGGATCGTCGGCTGTCGGATTGATGCATCAATACAAAACGATTATTATTTACACCCCTAATCATGTGTGCTGTCCCACAAGCCTCCTTTCAGGGGTTTTCACTTTTATATACAGTTTATATGTTTTCCATTGAATGCTACTATTAAAATGCTATTAAAGTATAATTTTAACATTCCAATATAGCACCTTAAAATATAGATTTGAATGGCTAAGGTTTAAAAAGAAATACAATTAAACTCCCTGCTAAGGTAAGCATTTAACTTTAGTTTTCTTAGTTTACTGAAAAGGTGACAAAGCTGTTAGGGACATGTCTTAAAAAGCATGTTAAGGTATCAAAAAACTATGACAATCATAATATTAAGTATTAAACAATAGCTATCTGCTCTCCAATGTAATTAAAATAAGATTAGAGAAAATCCCTGTGATAAATAATTGTTTTTTTTTTGTTTTGTTTTTATTATTTAATCTGAAAGCTATCTTAGGAAATATTTGGCCTTAAATCACGTAGCATATTTGTTAAATTCTTCTCCAATGACGCAAAACCGCAGCTTATTTCTATTTGTGATGAGGATCATAGTGTTCCATAGCTACTTTTCTTTATGTAGAGCATTTTTTTAAAGCAGGTATTTCTTTTATTCAATTAAATTTATGTACATAGAGCCAATTATTAACACATCATTCCAAAGAGACAATTATGATGATGGTTAAACGTTTTCTTTACAAAAATGCTGATTGAATTGAGTCATTGACTTTGCTGGATTTCCTCCTCCAGGTTGCACCTGTAGCGACAGAGGACTGTTGTTTGCATTGTGTTATTGACTTTACAGCAGTCCCTCATACCAAGAACGCATGGATTTTAACAGCCAGTTGTTTGATAAACTATAAGAGGAAATGGAAAACCACTTTAAATGTCAGGACCTCTGGGTAAAAACCTGAATTGAACATCAATAATTTGATTAGACAAAGGGATACTGATCTCTAGAGTGAAACTGGATTATTGCAGCAATAAAGGCAACAAGGCTTAATAAGTACAAAGAGAAACTCAAAATAAAGATGATTAAAAAGAACAGTTAACATAAATAAAGTCATATTTTTAGAGAATATAACCTAACTATGAAGAAAACATTTTGATCTTCTTGAATGTAAAGCTGAAAGTACCATTTTTAAGGTGTGTTTAGTAAAACCTTGTGAGGAATTAAAACAGTTACTGAAGACAGATATTGTGTCCCTGATTAAATTTCTGCAGAATATCCTAAATATGCCAGTTAAAGGGTCTCTTTGCCTGCTGTTTTTTTCTGAAATTCTGAAACATGACACTCTACCTCAAAATACACTGTCTTTCTTACTGAGCCTGAAAGAAGTGGTAGAAAACACTAAAAACAATAATAATAATTAAAAATAATTCAATTATCATTATTATTATTTAGAAAAGTAGGGTAAACACACTTTAGATAACTGTCTGAACTTCTTAAACAGGTACCCTTGGGGGAAAAAATCCTGTTGATTTGATTTATTTTAACATTTTCAATGAAGAACAGACATTAACTTGAATGAATCTAAAGCTCTCAGTGTTTTCAGTTTAGTTTAGGCAACTTTTAAATGAAAGTGTCCTCTTATATTTTGTGAGATAAAATTATTACCATGTACACCAAATGTTATGAAGGTTATATGTTAGGCTAAGTAGATCTGTTCCCTGTTTGTTACCGGTGTTTTGTCAGATGAGATGACCTCGTCAGACCAGCATACCCATAGTCAAGACACATGCACAAGATGTCAGATCTGTGTTTATCCCTTTATTTTGTATGAAAAATAGACTTTAAACTACCTCAACATGCGTGTATCCCTATAGTCATCTACAAAAAAAAAAGCTATTTCAGGTGAGATTGCCATATGCTTCAAAAAATACCAAAAAGTGAGTAATTAAATTGTTTTTTGGTACATAACTTAAGGGATACAGGCCCACTGAGGTAGTTTAAGGCGTATTTTTCTTACAAAACTAAAGGGATACACTAAAGGGATAAACGGGTATTGACTATGGGTATGCTGGTCTGACCGGGTATGCTCATCTGACAGAACAGCAGGGATGTTTATTTGGGATGTATGTTATTCCCTAATTATATGCCTAATATAATAGAAACATTATATGATTGTAGTAAATCCAGATATACTGATGCAGGGCAGCCTCAGGGTGAAGCAGCTGCCCTTCAGTGCTGTATTAAGAAATGTGTTTGGAATGTTACCATAAAATTAGGGCTGCAACTAATGACTATTTTGCAAATTGATCAATTTGTTTATTTTTTCGATGAATCGATTAATAATCAGATAGCCAAAGGTCACTTAAAGAAGATTTTTTACGAAGTTAAACCAGGTGAAACAAACGTTTCCTCTTGAGTTCTGGGTGGAAAATATTGACAGACAAAAACTTTTTTTTGTATTTCAAATGAAAAATCTTTACATATTTTTACAATCTTGGTATAATTCCTGCTCGAAGTGGGTCGCTCTGCCGGCTTAAGGCACATTTTTGTGGCCCTATACTCCGGTTAATAAATAATCAATTACTAAATTGACGATTATTTAAATAATCGATTAATATGATTGTTTCAGCCCTAGATAAAATACATGAAATGGGCTACGCAGGTAACTACAGCCCATATGCAGAACTTGTATAGTGAAGTTAATATTTTAAATGCTCAGTGTCAGCTCCTCCTATAGTTCCAGTGCACATGTAAATACAATACATTTATTTGCCGTCCCTTTAAGGTATTTTTTGCATGATACAGAGAGAGCATATTAGATAAAAGAAATAAATAAGAGTGGGTTTTACCTCTGTTTACCTCCGCACAATTCTATATCTTCAAAAGAAAACACAGGATAAATCCACATATAGCAGGAATATAGACTATATCTGGTTAAATAGGCACTGGTAAGTTTAAATGCAAACCTTTTCAAAGTGGAAAAAAGTCCTAATTCCACATTCGTAAGAGCAAGTGATGCTTTAAGCATTGATAAACAGCATGTAGTGTGTGTAGTGCTTGTAAGATTTGTATTGATGTAGGAAGAAATGCTGTTGTTCTCTTTAAACAAAATGTGCGCTGATGCTCACATTAAGCATAAAAAAATCATGCATATTTTTGCAAAGGACCAATGACATCAGACCAATGAAACTGAAGACCAACAGTGTCCCTACCAAAGTTGAAATCAAACCTACGCCCTTGTTTCCTGCCGAGGTCTGAGCGCCAAAAGACAAATTGTCCTAATTGTCTTTTCTCTTTGTGTGAGTTTTTCAGATTGAACTGGTTGTGTGTTTTTTCTTTTTTTTTGTCATTCTATGGAAATTAGACGTTTGGTTTCTGCCTATAATTGGTCTGCAAACAACTGGCAATTAAAAGACTGAATTAGACTTTTTAATTTTTTTTTTTGTAAATTGTGGTTAGATCTGTTCTGAATTAAATAAATAATAAATTAATATAGTCAAACTAAACTTATTAACATTCTCCTGTAAGTCAAACAGGTCTAACGTCAATTTTAAGCACCTTCCGACGCTGTCCGTTACCTGCAGTGCTGAAGCCGGTATTTTAACATGTTTTTGTATTTTAATAATGATGCAAAACCACAGCTTATTTCTATTTGTGATGAGGATCATAGCGTTCCATAGCTACTTTTCTTTATGTAGAGCAGTTTTTTAAAGCAGGTATTTCTTTTATTCAATTTAATTTATGTACATAGTGCCAATTATTAACACATTATTCCAAAGAGACAATTATGATGATGGTTAAACGTTTTATTTACAAAAATTTTGATTTAATTGAGTCATTGAATTTGCTGGATTTCCTCCTCCAGGTTGCACCTGTAGCGACAGAGGACTGTTGATTGCATTGTGTTATTGACTTTTCACTGGTTGTGTGTGTTCTTTTTTTCTTTTTTTTTTTGTCATTCAATGGAAATTAGACGTTTGGTTTCTGCCTATAATATGTCTGCAAACAACTGGGAATTATAAGACTGAATTCGACTTTTTAAATATTTTTATGTAAATTGTGGTTAAATCTAATGTCAATTTTAAGCACCTTCCGACGCTGTCCGTTACCTGCAGTGCTGAAGCCGCTATTTTAACATGTTTTTGTATTTTAATAATCAGTAAATATTTTGCTCTGATAAAACTCTATCTAAAAATTTCAATTGAAACTGAAATGAGAGAGAAACCTAAACCAGACTCGCACAAGTGGTGTTGCGGTTTGAGTTTGAAGACAAATTGCTAGTTTCCCACACCGGCTCGCTCCAGTCAGAGCGTGGTGTTGCATTTCCCTCCGCTTCAGTGACTGCTGCTCCAATTCTTCAACCCCCGTTAGGCAATATCCCTACGCTCTTAGAGCTCTTAAATGTTACATTACGTAGTGGGCGTAAATGCTCCTTGTAATGGCGACCGTGCCGTTGATGTGCCTATGTTTGTGAAAATGAAGCGGAGAAGAAGTTATTTCTTTTAACTAAAACGCCGAGGTTCCCGAGAGGAGGACTTTGCGTCAATAACCGTCATCTTCATACGTGGTAAACGAAGCTGTACTTTTATATTTTTGTGCTCCCGAAATGATGAAGCTCAAGTCCAACCAAACCCGGACGTACGACGGGGATGGCTACAAGAAGCGGGCCGCCTGTCTGTGCTTCAGGAGCGAGTCGGAAGAGGAGGTGAGCCCGGGGATGTTTCCGCTTAGTGGGCCATGCTAACGCCATCAGTTATGATGTCTTCAGTATCTTACGTAGCTGTAAATCGAAAGATGTATGAACGTGGTCGTCATTTTAGCGATTACTCGCTTGGGTTTAAGGTTAGCAGTTTGCCCCACGGGTACAAGTATTATAAATGAGTTTTAAGTCGTACTCATGATTGTGTTATATAAGCCTCTTTTGCTATACAACTGAAAGCCCGTTACACGGAGTTAGCCTGTTAGCTGATGCTAAAGCTAGGTTTAGCATGCTAATTAGCGCTGCTCCTCCGGGATCCAGCTGTCAGGCAGCAGACACTGCCTCTTCACGTGATTATTGACTTCATTACTGAGGCTCATCTGGATAAGAATATTTCCCAGTAACTGACGAACATTTGATGTAATGTAAGAGTTGTATTTTAGATACATTTCTGCTCTAGCATAAATTCAACTGGTTATTCCCACCCAACTATGTTGTTAGAATATTTATGTCAAAGTACTACAAGATACCCTAACTGATGTGATATTTGTTGTTTTTTGTTGCGATGTAAACATTATAATCCCGGGTTTGAAGTATCTGAAAATAGAAATCCATGTTTTTGGGTTGTTGTTTTTTTTGCACAATTGATCCTTTTTTCAGGTCAACTTTGTGAATATCCCGATGTTTAATCTGGTTATAAGAGGAATTATTTCAACAGTCAAGCACAAACGTGTCTTTGTAAGAAAACATGTTAGCAGGACGGCAGATTGGACTAAATTAGGTTTTGTCCTGGACTGAGGAAGGAGCCCACTTTTAACATGATTCAAGGAAATTCATTAGGAGCACACAGAAACCCATGATCCGAAGTTCACCCAATTGGCTTGCAGCTTGAAACTAAACTAAATCTATAGAAAGAATAAAATCAAAACCAAAACAATCTGAATACATTTGTATTTACATGTCACAGATTAACTTTAAAACATTCACCAAACACTACAGTGTGTGTTCATTCTTGTTTGGTATACATTTCAGGTGCTCTTGGTGAGCAGCAGTCGACATCCTGACAAGTGGATTGTTCCTGGAGGGGGAATGGAGCCTGAAGAGGAGCCAAATGCTGCCGCAGCTCGAGAAGTGTGTGAAGAGGTTGGTTCACATTTTCTTTTTTCAACCCTCATTACTGTCATTTGTCTGTATCTTTTCAGAATTTTAACATATATTGGAAGTTATATCTATTTATTATGTATACTAAATGACTTCTGATTCACAAATACAAAACCCGTCTTTCTTCACGTCGACCGAAGACCGAAATGTAGTTCTGAGAATAGCTTTCCATTTGCAGTGTGACAAATTGGTCCGAGTGTAGCCTCAGAGGAGTGTTGTATTACATTTCGGATTAATTGTGCCTGTATTTAACACTGGGAATAATACCTTGCCCTCAGAATCTTTTTTGTTAATGCAGTCATCCTGTTTGCATGACCAGGGAGATTGGGAGCCTGGCAACATGTAAGCAGTATCATAGCATCAAGTTTCAAGGCAGTGTTATGGTGTCAAAAGGTTGACGCTATGATAAAACACTAGATATGCCACAACTCTTCTTCTCCCCCTAAAAACTGAGTTTTTTAATCCAGGAGGAAATGTCAAAATTAGACATTTTGCTTAGACACGCTGATATTAAAGTTATTGGATTTCTCTCAGCAGTGGGTTCCTGCCAGGTCTCTGATAGGTACATGGGCTATTCTTTGTGTGTGATCTATCACACTGATGGAGGCTGATATCATCTCTTATCCCTGGCTTTCCCATTTTCATTGACTCAAGTTAGGAGTCGCACCGCTAGAAACATTTGTTAGAGTGCTAAAAGTAATCATCCAGAGGAATGATGGTGATTTTGAGTGTCGCTTAAAATTTTGCCATATACTCTGGTTTCTGGGCCTAGTTTTCTGTCCTTATAGAAAAGGAAAAATTTGAATTTTTAAGTTCCTATTGTGATTGCCAAATACCCAGTAAGCAATTTCTTATGTTTTTTTTTTTACTGTAGTCATGCCAGTCAATATTCGGGACCCAATAGGGGGCCAGATGTTCTGCTGGGTTCATCTGTCTATTTACCCTCTCTGGTCCTGACCTTATTCTCTTATTAGTGATACGCCCCAATCCTACAGCATTAGAACACATTGCATAACTGTAATGCAGCCTCAGTGCTGTCCATCCTCTTTCAAGATGATTCCCTGCAGCTCTCAGTTACATGAATGCTGAGCTTGGGGTTGTCTTTTATTTTATTTGAAGAAAAAAAAAACCCACAGCCTGACTTTTGGCCTATTACTTAATCCCTGGCATGGTTTGAGTTTCTCTTGATGGGCCTGTTCTTTTCCATTAAAATTAGTCGAGGACTTGAGAAGTGTAATACAGAGGCCATGGCACAGTATGTGGAGTCAACGTTTATTTATAGAGTGAAACCAGAACCTTAAGAAGCTTCAAAAATGTCAGCAAGTGCAATGGCTCTGTATTTGAATCTCACTAACTATCCACCTGGGAGTTATGGACTTGGTCATTTTGAAATTATTTTAGAGTAAGCCAGAATGTAATACTGTTTAGTTTACTCTATCTGGTGAAATGAGAATTTGGTTCTAAGGTTAAGAGGGAAATATGAATATGTGACAGAAAAGAGGTTGCTCTCTGAGTTTTCTCAAAGGGGTTATTAGGGGTTAAAGTTTACAGAAGTCTAAGGAAATAAGTTCCTTTAAGTTTTATATTTGATCTCCTGCTAGTTTCCTGGTGAGAGATTCCAAGGACTTAACAAAAAAGATTCAGGAAAAAGGAGTGAATTTTCAGTGTAGAAACACAGTCTTATGTAATGTAATCCACTGCAGCACAAACAAACCAGTTTCAAAATTACCATACAAATTACATCAGCACTTCTCTAAATCTGCCTCAACCAAACAACCCTGAAGTTTAAAAATGTGGCATTCATTTTCAGTTTATCAGGCTCTATTCCTTTGTTCCACTTTGTTTTTTATTGGATCAGAACAACCCTTATAATTGTCTTCTGTGACTCCATTACTTTTGTGACTTTCTAATGTTTTCCTTCATCTTGCAGGCGGGTGTGAAGGGGACCTTAGGTCGCTTAGTTGGAATATTTGAGGCGAGTTGTTGGTTTTCCCATATATTTAAATCTCAGCCCAGCGTTTTGTGTGCATTTGCAAATGAAAGGGGCTAATTTGTCATTTTCTGTCTTTAGAATAAGGAGAGGAAACACAGAACCTACGTGTATGTTCTAATTGTAACAGAAGTACTGGAGGACTGGGAGGACTCTGTCAACATTGGTAAAAGGCTGTTTATTTGTCAAAACAAAAGTCATACGGATAAAATTCTCAAGCAGTCACATGCTTGACTGTGACTTTGTTGTTTTCTTAGTCATATTTCGTGTCAAGGGTATTAAATTCCTGCCCTTGTGATTTTCACACAAACTTTCTTTGTAAGCTTTGATAATTTGTCCACGACTCTATTCTGTTTTTCATGGGCTGTTTTATCTGTTTGAATTGTTTCTACTAATCCTGCTTTGTTTTGTCAACAGGGAGAAAAAGGGAATGGTTTAAAATAGACGATGCCATACAAGTGTTGCAGTGTCACAAGCCTGTTCAGGCCACCTACTTCGAGGCTCTCCAGGAGAGTTGCCTGACCAGTAATGGAACGCCACTTGTGACCACGATAGGCGAGGACCTCTCACCAACCTACAGCATCAATCAGAGCTCCGTCTCGGGTATCAGATAACTAAAAACAATAAACTTCCCCCCCCCGGAGCTTTTGCCACCACTTGCGCTCTTACTTGTGTCACTTCTCTCTTTCTCCTCTCCTTTGTTCTGTCCTCTCTACTATATATTTTTTTCTCAGTAACATGGTTTGCCTTGCCAACTCCTTTGTGCCAGAATTGTGGCACAGACTTGATGACAGGTGTTAGGTGAAAAGTCTGAAACACTTTGTAAATGTAATTTTGGATCCGTTTTTTTTTTTTTTTTCGTTGTTTTTCTTCTTCTTACATAAAAAAATGCATGAAGTATCCCCTCATTCCCTGTCCTTTATGCACCCTTAGTGTGGTGTCAAATGAATGCAAGAACTACTTTTTACTGTTGTAATGTAAAAGTGTATGCGTAGTGCTTAAGCTGAAGGCTTTTGGTGGTCTTTTTAATGTCTTCTCCATTATTTCGGTTGTTTTCTGTGACTGAATGTGCCCATAAGTGTGCTCCCCTCCCCCCCTGTTGTAAGGATAGGAAATAGTGCGTATCAGAAGCAAAAGATTTGTGGGAAGCGTCTTGCATGAGCACTGTTCTGTTGTGTCTCGCTCACGTGAGTGACCCGATGCTGACTGTGCAACAGATTTGTGGCAAGGTCTTTGGCTTTTCTTCTTACTGTAGTTTTTTGTTTCTTTTCTTTTTTTTATGCTCGGCTTTTAAGCACGGTTCCTAGTTTTTCAATTTCGATAGACTTTCAAGTGTCAACTGTGTTTCTCCTTAATTTGGGAAGCTAGCCAAGCACTACAGGTTTCACTCTCAAGCTGAGTGTATACAGTAAACTGTACAGAGAGTGGAAGAATGTTGAGATATGATGTAAAACTAACTCCTTCTTGATAGATTGACCTAGTTTTAATCCCATTCTTTCCTTCTATTATATACTCTTGTGACTACAAAGTCTTCCTCCCCCTAATTAGAGGGTGAAAGAAGTAGATTTAAAGAATCATTCATTTCAGAATTGAGCACATATCACTTAAGTTATTAAAACCCATGTCTGTGTTTTACTCCTCACATTCAGTTTGGTTGAAAAACAATTGTTTACATTGTGTTCTTACCATAGCACAGATTTAGCGGGCACTTTCATTACATACATGATTATTCAAATTTATTTTATTATTTTTTTACCCTTATTTTTTTTATATTTAATCTGCATCCCCAAGAAGACTCAGAACAGCTGATTGACATTGAAAGTAATGGATCTGTTATCCTGTCTTTGGCAAAGATGCAGAACAAACAAGCCTTGTACAGTTTGAGACCTCGTTTTTAACTTGTAAAATGCTTTTGGATACTTATTCTTTCTCTTCTCTCTAACGTTTGGCAAGTCTCTTTAGCCGAGCTGCGTCACGTGGTCTTGATGAGTCATGTGGCAGCAGGCTCAATACTGTGAAACTGGAGGCGCTGTAGATAGCATGTAAGAGGTTTTTATTGTAAATTGTTTATTTCTGTATAGATCAAAGGTGAGAGTGCAAATGACAAAAAACCTCTTACACATCTTTGAGTGCTACGTGTCATTTCAGCTGCGGCTGGAAGAACTAAAAACTTCTTTGTTGGCTTATGAGCTGTTGGGATTTTTTCCTTTTTGAGATGGCAAACAGTATACCTGAGACTAAAGAACAAGGAATGTGGTTGTGAGATTAAAGAGCCTTTTTTAATAATAAAATATATAAATATATATAGATTTACACACGTGGATTCCCTTCAGATTGTAAACCACGAGGGTTTACCTGTTTGTTTTTTGGATCAAGTGTAAAATAATGAATTACTGCCACGGAAATGCAACTGAAATTTCTTAGCTGCTTCTCAGATTAGAGATTAGCAAATCTGTTGTCTTGTATTTGGTGCATTTCTCTGCCCTGAAAGCACATCAACACAGGTTTCCTGTCTGTTGAAACTTATTAGAATACCCTTCTTATAGGATGTTATGTTTGGGTATAAGAGAAGAACCACCATTAAAATGTCTGGTATATTGGTAAAACCTACTTACTTACAAGCCAAGTGATCCAGTGAAGTTTATAAATTGCAAATAAACTAGTAAATCACAAACAATAGCCAGAACAACAGGCTTTAGTATCTTTACAAATTATTTAAATGGTTAACTTTAAGCACCTTGTTAGAGGCAATTCTGTGGATGTTTTCCGCATCTGTAATCAAACAGTTCAGTTCTGATCGAGAGCAAAAGGCTGCGCATTTTATCAAGAAATATGCATAGAAAACAACTGCATCATAACTGATCTGAAGGAAATAGCTTTGACAACTGAAGGCTATTTGCAAATGTCTAAAGAAAAAGCATGGTGTATAGAAATAGATATTGAAACCTTTTTCTAATTTGTAAATCAGGTCAACTCCCCTCCAGCCCAAGACTTTGAACTGGTTTTACTGCTGTGCATCTGCAGGGCGTGGTGACTAAAGTCTTGCTTTATGATACCCCTCCTGGTTTGTCTGCAAGCCCGTTTATGTAAATATGCTGTTGAACATCAATATGACTACCAATTAGACAAAAAAAAAGCTGCTCAGACCAATTGGCAGTGATTGAATTTTTTATCTGAGTGGTGGGTACTGTCAAAATGAATGTGAGGAGGATTTCCATAGGTAATAGCCAATAATGTAATTATTAATCGCAGGTTGTTTCTAACCACCAATATGTTAGCTAAACCAGATTTTGTGATGAGATAATGCTGTATATAAAGGTAAAAGAACAACCTAAAACCAGGAAAGCTCTTTGGCTGTGGTTCAGAATTATTGTTCCTTATTGGGGAAAAACCTCACTGAGTTTCAGACTTCAATAAAAAGCAACGTCGTCTTGAAATGCAGCATGAGAGAAAATAAATGCTCACCAATAAATTTCACATTCCCAAAAATTAAAGATGGCCGAAATGATATACCCCTTATCCTTGGTGTTTCTGCTTACAAAACCGGCTCTGTAGTTGAAGGAAGCAGACCAGAGGGTGTTTCTTTTTTACACTGAATCTTTAGATAACATCACTTCCTTCTCCAAAGTGGGAATCAGAATCATGTTTGCCAGTGAAACAGCTCCACCTTGTGGCCATGGCATGAGTATTAAAAGCACATCTCAACAGCTGAGGATTGTAAACATTCAGTCTCCTTTATCAGCTGAGCGACTGCAAAAAAAGTTTTATAACCCCAAAATTACTTGCAACTGAATTACAAATGTGTGTAAACTTCTAGATGTGAAGCTAAGCCTGGAAGTTACGTACTTGTAAACAACTTGTGTTTATTTTGTGTCACTGGAATATAGTTTTCCTCTCTTTCATCGTTTGGGACTGTGGAATAAAACCAGAGCAAGACTTAAGATTGTAATATAAATGTGCCAACAAATAAACAGCAGTATTTCACATTCTGTAAAGTGTCTTTCTGTCCAAATGTTTTTTTCTTTTTGGGTTTGTTCAATAAACATGCTGTGTAATACAAGGCAGCACACACTGAACACTTAAAACACAATTTTAGGGCTGTGAGATATAGCTTTTAATGTTCTTTTCAGTGTATATATACATATACATATATACACATATATATATATATACATATATATATACATATATATATATACACATATATACATATATATATATACATATATATATACATATACATATATACATATATATATGCATATACATATATATACATATATATATATACATATGCATATACATATATATATATACATATGCATATACATATATATATATACATATGCATATACATATATATATATATACATATGCATATACATATATATATACATAAACATATACATATATATATACATATATATATAAAAAATTTATATTAACATATAATATAAATATACAAAATGCATATACAAAACCCTTTTTAAAATTATATTTTATTTTACATTATACATAAAAAAATATACTTATATATAACATATATTTTAAAATTTTATACTTTTTTTAAATTCATATATATATATCATATATATCCCATATTATACTATATTTTATACATATATATAAAATACTATGCATAAACATATATAAAACATAAACATATACATATATATATACATATATACATATACATAAAATTTTTTCCCATAAACATTTACAAAAATAATATACATCCCATATATATAAAAAATTTTATACATATATACATATACATATATATATTACAATATATTTTACCCCATATAAAATATACATATATAAAATTAATTTTCATATATTTTTTAAAAATAACTATATATACATATACTTTATATATATATATACATATATATTTTATACATATACATTATATAAAATATATATTTTATATAATACATACAAAATATATAAAATTCCCATATATAAAATATACTTTTTAAAAGATATATATACTTTAAAATTATATATACATACATATATATATATTTTAATTAATTTTAAAATATATTAATATATATATATTTAAAAAATTTATAATACATATACATATAAAATTTCATAAAAACATAAAATTTTAATATATATAACAAATACTTATTATACATATACATACATAAACATATATATATATAAATATATTACATATAAAATACATATACTTTTAAAATTATATATTTTATAATAATATAATATAATTTAATATACATATAAAATAAATATACTTATCCCAATCATTTACATTTTTATTATACATATAAAATTAAAATTTTTTAAAATAAAATTATATATAAAATAACATAATATATACATATTTATATTTTACATTATATTTTTAATAATATCACATATTTTACTATAAAAATTTATTTTTACATATATATATATATAAAAAATAAAAAAAATTTAAATACAATAATATATATAAAAATTCCATATATTTTATATATACATATACATTATATATATCCATATACAAATATTTAAATATACATATATATATTTTCCCAATATTTTATTTTACATTTTACTATAATATACATATACATAAAACATATTTTATTTTACAATAAATACTATACATATAATATACATATAAATAAATATATATATATTTAAAAACAAAATATTACATATATAAAAATTATAAATAATACAAAAACATAAACACTGTTACCCCCTCCCCACAAATATTTTTATATTTATTTTCTTTATAAAACATATATAATATTAACAAAATTATTTTACATATACATATTATATTAAAAACTTTTCCATTTATACATATACATTTAAATACATATATTATATACTTTAAATATATATACATTTTTTTTTTAAACATATATTTTTTAAAACAAAATTAAAAATACATAAAATATCATATATATATACATATATATATACATATATTATATACATATAATTAATATATATATAAAATATATTATACAAAAATAATATAATAAATAAATACATTAAAATAATATACATTTTTAAATATAATATACTTATATAATAAAATATATATTCATATATATTCCCATATATATATATTAATTCAATTAAATTTCATTTTTTATAAGCCCAAATTCACAACACATGTCATCCAACCTTTTACAGTTCAACCAGATAATACATTTAAAATTTGTTTACAAATTTTTTCAATCTAAAAAAAAACCATTGATTGCATTGACTCTTTGGGACTAAAATAAAAATCCCCCACATTTAAGCATTTTTTGGAAAGGGGCCCAGGAGGGGGAAAAACCCCTTTTAACAGGAAAAAACCCCTCCACAAAACCCGGGCTCAGTGTAGGGGCCCCATCTCCGAGGCCGACGGGGGTTAAAGGAGCCCAAACAGAGATACAAAAACCACTGTAAAAGGGGGCCCCGGGGTCCGGGAAAACACACAAAACCCAGGCAGACGGCTCCAAGGCAGCCCCACCCAAGGACAAAGAGAGCACACCCCACTCATAAATTCAGAAAAAACAACCACATGGAAAACACCGTTTCCCCAACATCTATTAACAAGGGTTTTGTAGAAGCCCCCCAGCTGATGTTTTTTTCCGGGAAAATGACGTCAAAACCAAACGGAAAAAACCCGGGGCAAACTACTTTTAGGAAAAAAACAGGAAGCAAAAGGGTTAGAGTTTGAACAAAACAGTTTCTGCAGAATAGGAGAACAAAAGAGAGAATAAAAGCAGAATAAATAAAAATGGGGGTCCCTATTTTCCCCCAAAAAGGTCAAGCCTATAGCAGCATAACTATAGAAAAGGTTTCAGGATAACCTGACCCAAACCCCTAACTATAAGTTTTAAAAAATTTAAAAATTTTTAAAGCCTACCTTTAAAAAAGTAGACGGGGTTGTCCCCCTCAGGGACAAAAATTTGGTAGTTGGTTCCCAAAGGGAAAGAGGGGGCCGGGTTTAACTAAAAAAAAACCCTGCCCCCCCATTCTATTTTAAAATTCTGGGAACCCACAAGTAAACCTGCGGGATTGAGAGCGAAGTGTTCTTTTAGGAACTTTAAGGGGAACCCAATCAGATCTCGGGATATAAAAAATGGAGTTTTGGCCATTTAAGGTTTTAATATGTAGAAGGGGGTTTTTAAAATTTCTATTCTTGTTTTTAAACCGGAACCCAAATTGAAGAGAAGCCGGGATAGGGGGGAATAAATTTTTTTTTTTCATTTTCATTAAAAACTCTGGCTGCAGCTTTTTTGGGATCACTGAAGGGTTTTTAAAAATACAGTTTGGGGACTTCCGGGAATTAAAAAATTACAATAGTCCTTCCCCTTGGGAAGTAAAAATTTGCATGGACTAGTTTCTAAAGCACCCCCCTGGAAACGGGATATTTCAAATTTTTTGAAAATTTTTCCTCAAAAGAAAAAAGGGAAATTCTAGAAACCTTTGATATGGGATTTAAAGAAAAGGCCCCTGATCAAAAAAAAAACCCCAAAGGGATTTTTTTACTTTAATTATCAAAAAACATTTTTAATCCCATCCAAATGAAGTGACTGGCTAATTTTTTTTTTTTCAGGGGACTCTGGTCCCAAAGACTAAAATTTCTGTTTTGTCGGGCATTCAAAGCAAAAAATTAAGAGTAAACCAGTTTTTATGCCTTTCCAAAAACATTTTGTAATCTATTAATGGGTTACTTAATTGGATTTATAGACGGGATATATTTGGGGTATCATCAGAAAAACAGTGGGAAATTAATCCCCATGTTTGTCTAATAATTCTACCTTTTTGGAGATGTAAAAGTAAAGAAAATTGGGCCCCACATGATCCCCGGGTGGTACCCCCACAGGAAACCCTTTGAGCGTTTTTGAAGATCATCTTTAACATGAACCCAAACTGTTTTTTTCCCCCAATTCAGTAGAAAAATTTTTAAACCAGTCTAGTGCTTTTTCCTTTAATTCCAAAAAAAATATTAAAGTTTTTTCAAAAAAGAATTTATGGTCAAACTGTATAAAAATTGCAGCACTAAGATCCAACGGGGGACGAGCACGAAACAAGTCCTTTATCTGGGGGCCAAATGAAATTTTATTTTGACTTTCACCAGAGCTTTTTTCAGTGCAAATAAAGACTCTAAACCCCGGGACTAAAAACCTTAAAAAAAGTTAAATTAGGGTGGAAGTGTTTCGAAAAACTTTTTTGGCAACATTTTCTCAAGAATTTTTGGATAAAAAAGGAAGTTTGGAAATTAAAAGGTCTAAAATTTGGGACCAAGTAAACCCTGGGTCAAGAGACGGTTTTTTTAAGAAAGGGGGTTTAATTACAGAAAATTTAAAAAGCTTTGGGTACATATCCCTGTAACAGAGAAAATTTAAATTTTCACATCAAAAAATGGAGGAGGAATAAAAGGGGAATACCTCCTTAAATAACCTGGTTGGAACTGGATCTAACATACAAGTTGAAGGCTTAGATGAAGACAATAATTTTGCTAATTCAATTCAATTTTCAATTCAATTCAATTCAGTTTATTTATATAGCGCCAAATTCACAACACATGTCATCTCAAGGCACTTTACAGTTCAACCAGATCAAATTGATACAAAGTTTTCTATCTAAGGAAAACCAGTTGATTGCATTGACTCATTGACTCAAATACAATCCCCCACACTAAGCATGCTTGTAGCGACAGTGGAGAGGAAAAACTCCCTTTTAACAGGAAGAAACCTCCAGCAGAACCAGGCTCAGTGTGAGCGGCCATCTGCCGAGGCCGACTGGGGTTCAAGGAGACAGAAGCAGAGATACAAAAAGCAGCTGTAAAAGGCGGCCCCGTCCAGGAAACACACAGCCAGGCAGACGAGCTCCAAGGCAGCTCCCATGCCAGAGGACGAAGAGAGCACATCCACTCAGTCACGGTCAGAGAAACAGGACCACACTGGAAAACAGGCCGATCTCCAACATCTATAAACAAGGGTGTTGATAGAAGCAGCACAGCTGATGTTTC